TTTTTTTTTTTTTTTTTTTTTTTTTTTGGACTTGAAGGGAACATTTTTAGAGTATGGCCAGGGTGTGAGAAACACGCCAAAAAGCACAAAGGTGTCCTTTAACTCTGCTATTTCTTTCTCTCCCCTCTCCCCTTTTAATCCTGCCAGCCTGTGTGATTTGACTTCTTCCCGCTTCCGTTTATCTCAAAGTAAAGGATTACTTTCCTGTGGCGTCTCCTTCCCTTGGAGGTTGCACTGAAGAGTCTTTCACCCTTTGAAGGAGCGGAATGGCAGAGTTAAGGAGGGAAACAGTTCTTATACAAGGAGTATTTTTTTTTTTGTGCCCCCCAAAAAAAAGTGGGTCCATCTGCTGTATTAATAAAAAAGAAGAAAACAAAAATATTAATAATAATTCCATTCTGGCTAGATTGGTTTTGCTGCATCATCTGGCCAGGGCCACCGCTTTGCTTTGTCACTTGCAATGTTCTGAGTTTCTCTCCCCGCCGCGTTGCACCCAGCGCTCACCAGGACTTTGCCATCCCCTTCTTCAAACAAAAACCTGCGGCTGAAGGTTTTCACCCTCCGGCCACGGACTGCCCCTGGACAGCCACGCTCGTCTGCAAAACCCAACCCTGTCTGGAAGCGGAGCAGTGGAGGAGCACAGGGGGGAAGAGATGTGATGGGCGAGCACCCGGAGAGCCCCAGCGAGCGTCCCAAGGCTCGGGGAACACTTTGCTCCCACCTCTCCTTCTCCAGATGAAGACAACCGGAGGTGAGGGCAGCATTTCTCTTGTTGGTGTCACGTTGGCGACCTCCGGTGCTTCTGCTCGTCGGGGAAAGCTGGAAAATACACGAGAGTTAAAGGCGTGAGGAGCTTTTGTCCAGAAAACTTTGTCCTCCTGCTCGGTGGGGTCTGGCACCTGGTCTGTGCGTGAGTTCAAGCAGTAAGCGGGGGCTGAGGGCGATGCCCAAGCTCAAGGCTTAGGCCCTGATTCCACCCAACCTCCCTTGGCTGTGAATTTGTGCACCGAGGTGGATTTCACCGGGGAGGGAGCCTTGGGCTGTGTGGAGGAGCCAGGACACCACGCGCCCTCGGACCCGCTCTCAGCTTTGTCACTGCAAAGTTACCCACGGAACCTCCCAGCGCCGAGCCGAGGGGCTTGGGGGGCTTCACCCCCCACCACGGTGCCCCAGGAGCCCGAGACTCGGGTGGCAGAAGAGGCAGCAGCTACAAACCCAGGATGAGTAAATTCTTCCATGGAAACACTTCTCCTTCTGATCCTTAATATTTTGAATGGGGTTTTTTTTGTTGCTTTGGGGGGGCAGGGGGATAGAGATGGATCTCAATCTTTATACATCTGCTATAAGATATTTTTGCAAACAGAGTTGTATACAAAGATGTATTGTGTACATTTACATGTATATTCTGGAACTTCTAAAATTTGAATATAAAAACTGAAAATATTTAATGAATATCCAAACTGTGAGACCCAATTAGCATTCAACAACTTTCTGCTTCACTTTTCTTTTGGACTGTGTTAAAGAATTGTAGTCGAATCTGCCTTTTTTTTTTTTTTTTTTCTTTTTAGAGATTATGAAGCTAGGCAAATTTTGTGCTTTTTGGGTTAATAGAAACCAGTTTTAGGTGATTAAGTATGATCTTAACTTATTGATACTGTGTTTTACTTTGTAATATTGTACTGTGGATAAAACTATATTGAGCCATGGAGTTGGAGTTTACAAAAGAGCTTTTCACTTTGCCAAAATGTTACAATTTAAAGGCAGCATAGTCTTCAGCTTTCCTAATCTTTTCTTAAGAGCTAGTGTCTTTTTTGTACACTAAAAAGCTGAATGCTGATTTTGCAACATATAATAAATTCACTGTATTGGAAAACAAGCAAACAATAAGGTTGTATGTTTCTTTTCAGTGCTTCTTACTGCAAGAAAACTCAAAAGGGAAAGGTGATAAATGGTTGGCCTGGAGTTTGAAAGCAGGAAACTTAAAGGAACCGAGTCGGTTGAGTGAGTTCAAGTATCAGAGCTGTAGGTAAGGAGTGTTAGAAGGGAAAGGTGATCTCTGTTGCATTTTCCAGCTGCTTGCTGCTGCTCTGGGAAGAGCTCTGCCCAAGGAGCAGCCTTGCCCCTGGGGAGGCCTTTGGTGCTCCGGTGGGATTGGTCTTCCCCCTCCAATGGCATTAGCACCCAGCTGTTTTTTTTAGAGGAAAAAGCTGGTTTTTGAAGAAGCACCTGCCACTGGTGTTGGCATGGAGGTGTAGAGGGAGGCTCCCAGGGGGTGTTGGCAGGCGAGGGCCTCGCTGCCTCCCTGGCACTGGGCGATGCTGGAGCCTCCTGGCTTGTGGTGGCTCTTCCTGACGGCCCGAGCCCTGCCCTGGGGCTCCCGGCCAGAGCCCAGACCTGGTGCAGGTGCCTACCCTCGCCCGTTCTGCCTTTGCAGGGGAGGGGCTGCTGCGTTTCTCCCCACGAGCTGAACTGGCTTTGACGTCTGAGCTTGCTCGTGTGGGGGTGAGTCGCGTCCCGGGGGGGGAGCTGGAGCAGGGACACTGCTGCTGCCAGAGCAGCGAGGTGGGGATGAGCCTGGTGTCCACGCTGCTGGGGCTCCCACCTCCACCCGCAGCCTGAATCATCCGCCTGAAGCTCAGTTTTTTTTTTTTTTTTTCTGTCACAATGGCTGCTTGCTCTGGCCCTGGCTTCTGCAGCATCCCTGGGTTTGCTGCTCGCTGTGGCTGGAGCAGGCAGAATAAAATAGAGTATAAAAACACACCAGTAACTGCTCAGTAGCATAATATCCTCTGAATAGCTTCCGTTTTCCTGCAGTAGTTGCTGTGCTGCCTGCCTGGGGATCCCTTCCTCCAGCAGTGGATGACAGGCACAGGTTCACTGGGCTGGAGACTAAAGTGCTGGCAGGTCTTGCCCACGTTCCTCTCACTCGCTTTGTTCCAGTGCAGGATTTCGGATTCTACCTCCAAAACAGCAAAATAGGGAGAAGGTAAAAAGAATCCAGCTATCAAATAACATTTTAGGGATGTCTTGGGTTTTGTTTTGGGTTTGGGTTTGTTTTTTTTTTTAAAGGTTGGAGGGAACAGGGAGTGCTCTGCTCTGTCTCACCAGCTGTGACCTTGGAGTTGACACAACAGCCCGAGCACCCGCGCGGGGCCGTGATGCTCCCACGGCCACCCTGGGTTTGCTCCCACGAGGCCCTCGGTTACAGAGCAAGAGCTGAGACACGTTGGGTGAGCTGATGCTCTTGTAAATCCCCAAATCATCAGGTTTTTAGTTACAAATACCATCTCTGAGCCAAGCTCCACGCCCTCAGCCCCTGTTTTACCATCTTTTAATTCCTCACTTGTCTGAGCTTCCCCCCTTGGGGCTGATGAAAGCTCCTGTCCCCGGGGATGTGTGTGGGGCTGCTCACCCAGGATGGATCCCTGTCCCCTCCTGTCCCCGCTTTTCTGGGGAATTCCTCTCAACCGCTGGCAGCTCCGGCCCTGCCTGGGGTCACGCACTGAGCTCATTAACTCGGAGCTGCCCCAGTGGAAATTTACTGGCTGTGGCTGTTGTGCCAGAGCCAGCCCGGCTCCTGCTGCTGCCTCCTTATCTGCACCCTGGTGGGAACGTGGCCACCAGCCCTCCTGGGGGGACACGGGGCAGCATCGGGGTCAGGCTCTGTCTGTGCCAAAGCTGAGCCCCCCCCAGGGAAGGTTCCAGAAGCACCCTGAGCTCTGATAACTCAGCTCACGCTTGGGAAAAGTGTCACTTTTCACCGCTCCAAGCACAAGCTGCCCTTAAATTAGGGTCACACACATGTGGGAAGGCAGAGGTGACCCTGCAGCCTCCTGGTGGCCTCGCTGGGGCTTGAAAAGCGGTGAAAGCGCGGTGGGTTTTTCCTGTGCACCTTTTTGCTTGTGGCTCATTGACAGGAGCAAGCTCATTAGAATAATTTGTCCTCGACACGGTCCGATGGTGCTGGTCCCTCTTGCAGAGCAGCTGCTGCACCTCCGCCACCCAGCACAACCACCCCCAGTCACCCGTCTTGGCCGTGTCCGTCCGTCTGTCCCTTTCCATGC